ATGATCTGGATTAAATTCACTTGCCTTTTATGACTTTTATACAATGGTTGAGTAGTAACAATATATTGCACCTTTCATTTTGAGACCTGGAAGAGCTAAAATAGTGTTTACATGTCACTAAAAACAGAAATGGGGATAAGTGAGGGAGACCAAGGGACAGGAAATGTGTGAACTGCCATAGCGACTGGACACAAAGCCCTGATGTGCAGTGTTCTTTTGAGTAGGAACACTCCTTCTATTGCAGTTCTATGCTTCTAAGGCTGAAACAACGCAGAGAAGAGAGAAGGAAATATCAGGCGATCACAAGCAATAGGAACTCTGTTCCAAAGTAGACAGGTAACCCAAGAAAGGTGAATATGTATGATGATAGAGATTGGAAAAGATACATAAAGAATTATGAAGAAAACTGTAATTAGTAAGAGGTTTTTATCAGATGCGTTTGAAAATTATGAGTGAACAAACAGCAACTATATTCCTATCTAATAACAGGAGATAACACAAGAGAGATGAAACAAGCCCTAAACATGCAAGCTCTGGATCCATATGTATCACAGTCTGACTTTGATCTAGATTGGATTAACAATGCCCAAAAAGGAGAGAATTGTGCTGGCAGATGGTTCAGTCCTCCCCTATTATTCCCCATGCTTTTGATTTGTACAGCACTATCTGTAAATGAAGTAATTAAAGTCAGTTAGATACAATGTCCCAATGCAAGAGGAATCAGGAAGACAGGTTTACTTCATAGTATTTCAAATAATCATTTTACTTCCAAGATAGTTATTTCTAAGAATTAGAATAGAAAAAGCTTTCCTGGTGTGATGCTCATAGATATACACATGCTTTGATCATTATCAGAAATGGTTTGTGCAGGCATGGGAGGTGGAACTTTCATCGCTTTTGAAATACACAACATAATGAAAAATGCAAACATGTCACAGGGAAAAAAGTATATACAGCTGAATACAAGGGCAGCTTTCTGCAAAAGCTATTTCAACACGATGTCACACAGCAATGAAGGATCCTGCCAACTCTTGAAGTGACAATAAGCTACCACAGAGACAACACAATCTGCTCATAGATTCATTTTCCTTCCTCCTAAAGCCCAGTGCTGCTTTAGAAAACAAAACTGCTGTGTAGTGAACTTAATCAGATGCTACTGGGCAGAAGCTTTTTGTTGTTCTTTTTTCTCCCATTCCTACCAAGAAAGTGAGCCTCCAGTGACCTAAGTACTGTTGGATCCTTAGGTGGCCATAGCGGGCAGATGCAGCCAAAAGAAAATGATAATCAGAATTCTGTTGCTGCCACTGAAAATGACAGTATTTCCCTTTTCTAAACAGAAGAGAAAGAGAATTAGTCACAGCCTGTTCCTCCAAATTCTTGTTCAAGAAAAACCTTTTTTAGTCTCACATTCTATAACTGTGGGAGAGAGTTGAGCAGGGGGAGGTTTATTGTTATTTTGGTGCACTGCACTAAATAGAAGGCAGAAAAACAAGGGAAATAGTATCTATTGCAATCTGAGGCTTAAACATATCTGATAGTATATTCAACAGCTTTGCCTGTCTCACAGCCCTAGGCAAAAACATGTCCCTTTCCCTGCTGTTCTTTCATTTCATGCTATAATGCTTCCAATTCTCCTTTTAAAAAGAATTATGTACATTATCTACCTGTGGCACAGAAACTCCTTCTTATGGCCACTCACAATCTTCACAGATGTTGCTCTGTCATTATCAGTAAAAGCTTTAGTCATTTGGTTCAGGGAGGAAATAGCATCTGGGAAAAGTGCCTCAATGATGAATTAAAAAAAGAAGGCAAGTTCTTCTTCTTGCTAAGTACTATCTAAAAGGATGGTGGGGATCTGGAATAAAAACCTGAAGGAAACAATATTCAGAATGAAGTTTTCTAGATTTTTTTAAATTTTATTTTTACTATGCTGCATAGTTGTGTCCTCAAAGTTTCATTTAATTAATCAAATACAGTGCTATTTAGCCCATCTGCGTCTCTGAGTGTGTCCTCTTGATATTACCTTCTTGATGTTCCTCTGCCATGTCAAACTGATGAAACTTCAAACTTCAAATCTCAACTTTGCTTCCCCATTCCTTCTAACCGCTCCTCTCTCCTATCCTCATACAAAAAGCACTTCCCTTTCTTCTCTTAGTTTACTGAACAATCACATTTTTTCTCATGCCAGGTCCTTCCTGACAATCCCCTTCATGATACTTTGTAGAATCCAAATGAATGTGGAAAACTTCCTTCATGGCAACCTCAGAATTTTATAACTTCAGAACTTCTGAACATTCCTTCCCTGATGTTAAAACATTAAGCTTACCTATGTTTAACTATTCTTGGGGGTGATCCTGACACTAGCCATGTACCTCTGCTCCCACAGAGCTCACACCTTCTGTGCATCCTCATCACTTCTCAAAGGCCAAAGACAAGGTCAGGATAAAATCCCTCACAGTGCTTCCTTAATCAACCCCCCAGAATAATTGGGTTTTCTCCCACAAAACCATCTTTCTGGTGATTGACACATACTAAATGTATTAAACAAAGTACATGAAAATATCAGGATCCTGAAACAAGAACGCTTTAAGCACAGAGATGCACATTTACAAAAAGAAAAAAAGAAAAAAAAATATTTTCTCATACACTGAGCAAATGATGTAAAAACTGGACAGGGAGAATCCCACAGCCAGCAAGGACACTGACCAGATTCCTAAGCATTGCCATCCCAGTGGGATTGTGCGGGGTCATCCCTGGATAACACAACACACTGCTCAATAGTCTGACTTTGAACGTTGAGGATTCATGCCTCTTTCTGCACAGAGACGTGCTGGGTTAAAACCTGGGATGAAACATATTCCTCACCATGAAAACAGGGAAAAATCCTGCTAAATGCCAAATCTGAAGCAGCCATGATTCAAAGGGACAACGTGAGGAGAACAGGTGCCAAGGATGTCTGTTCTCTGGGTTGATTTGCAAACTAAGATTCTTCTAAACCATTAGACGTTCCCCCTGTCTCATGTGAGCAGACAGTGAGCCGAGCTCAATGTATCTCATCACCATCTGGAAACTCTACAGGCAAGGATATCTTCTCTATTGTGCTTTTGAATAGAATTAGTTTTCACCCAGTTCAAATCTTTGTTCTGAAGCTGTACAATCCCTCCTCCGCTCCTTCGTAAATCAGGTTTATGCTTTTTTCCATGTGGTTTTGATATACTCGTAGAACTGGAGACCAAGGAAAAAACAGCCTAATGCCTCAAAGAAAGGACCTCCAACATAAGAACTCACAAAATATTATTCTCAACATCACCAGGTACTGTGTTCTGCATTGTTGCTCTTCTTCGCTACGATCTTTCATAAATGATATCAGATGGTGATTGCCTTATCCAATAGCCTGTACCACTGTTCAAGACATGCATGCACATACATAACATTAATTTCTCTAGCTTATTAATAAAAGCAGAAGAAAATGACAATGGCAAATTGGGTACAGATTTATACTGATTTGTTTCTGCACTCTCCTTTCTAAATCACATTTATGCATTTTCATTTCCAATTTCTTTAAATATGAATATTACTAACTAATTATCTTGTTACTATGATGGACACAATCCAAAAACCTAGATAAAAGTATGTGATAATTTCAGTTCTGGTTATAAATTTTTGTGGCTTGAGTCATAAGTGATTGAAGACTTTAACAAGCATTCCCAAGAAAACCTGACTGCAAATGAAGTTATCTTCGTTGTATTTTCCCCATAAAAAGAAGGTTTAGCTCAGCATATTGCTCACAGATACAGAAAGCACAACAGCCTGTTTTAGACTGCTGCCATTCAGTTTCATGCTGCATCCCCATCTAGAGTCATTAATCTTTTACCACCAGAAACACAATTAATCATGTGTTTGTTTTGTTGGTTTTTTTCTCCAGAGGAAAGAGACAAAATTCATAGTAATTTTTATAGAAAACACTGCAAGGTACTCCATCAATAACAGTCATTTTTCTTCTCAGTACACCCTAACAGATTTGCTCACTGAAACCTGCTTGTCTTTACATTATACAAAACTGCAGTAGTCTAAAATACATATAACCAATAGAAAAAACACATAAAGAAGCAGTCTGCTTAGTTGTGCTGTATAAGGCAACAAATGTCCTTTTACTGATAGCTGGACCATAAATAAAGAACAAACAGGGTTGAGAAAAAGGTGTTTATGTTACTTTGGAGGTTATTTCAGGTGGAGACATTTTTCTATTTAGCTCACAACACAAAATCTCTGCCTAAACTATGATACAAGTTTTGATTAAAAACTTACTAAAACCAAAAATCTTATCAACTTTGATGGCAGTTTTACTAGAATTAGTGCAAGTTACTTATGGATATATAAAAACAACAACAATAAAAAAACCCAACAAAACAAGTTATGAAAGTATGTAAATCAATGCCATCCCCTCACCCCCAGCTTCACTCATATCCTAGGTGAGAAATGCCCATTGCCAGTTGTATAAAAATGTCACTCATACTGTTCTCAGCCTTTTAGGTCTGAGAACTTACTCTAGCTCAGCTCCCATCAAGGTCAATGAGAGTTCTGCCTAAAAACAAATGATGATCCATCCACCATCCACCCCTTCAAAATATGACATCTGCCACATGGATTCATATACATAGTCATTTTTTTCCTTAGACACTGTATAACTTAGTAATTATTTAAAATTAAATGTCACAAGCTTTTCCCTTTTTTTCTTTGTTTCTAAGAGACACACAGAAGACAGCTGTAGACTGCCCCCTCCCTTTTTAAAAAAATTATTTATTTTCTTAAAAAAAAAAAAAAAATCCATAAGGTAATTGGCTTTCTGGAGAAGTAACTGAATTTTCCAAATTGAATTTTAAAAGATGCTCCATAATATCCATTATAGCAAACACTGTCCTGCAGATTTGATTAGTAGGCTCTCTGGACCTGCTTATTTCTGAATTGAAAGCACAGTACAGCCTGGATAAATGAATTACCTGAGCAGCGGAACTTCTTGCTCTTGATCTGACTGATTCGTTTGTTGGCAAGGCGACGCGGACTGCTGCATCGAGCACCGCTGGTTTCTATCGGATTATCCTGAAGGTAATCAGCCAGCCACTTCAAATGGCAGTCGCACACAAATGGATTCTGAGCTAAATGTCTGTGAGAAGGATGGGATGTTTAATCAGAAGTGACCTGTGACACTGTACTCCATCACTGTTTTTCACAAACGCAAACCTGAAGAGTAGAGTAATTGAATAAGCTTCCAAAAACCCAGGCCTGGCGGAAACCACAGAGCTGCACATGAATGGGAGAATTCTGGAGCTATCACATTTCATAGCTCATTAAGCCTGCTGCAAGTCCTTTCACAGAGGAAACAAAAATTAAGATAGCAAAGTCTGCTTTACAGTACACAGACCTCCTGTCTACAACATCCAGTGTTTTGTCATGAGAGTTTGATATGCTGCCTTTTGAGAGAAATGCATCTTTCTAGATGCACCTGACCTGAAGATAATTTTGTATTCTGGTTTAAAAGAAATTTTATTGACAAGCTCAGTTTCCTAGAGATCAAAATGTGAATTAGTACAGTGCGTTCGATCTGTGGGCAAGGTCAGAAGTGATCCAGAGGTCTCTTCTCAAGAGAGAAATTGATATTTGCATATACTCATCATGTATAATAGTATTCCTCTTATATGTATTTTTTTCCTGGACCAAAAATTTTTACTTTTGAGACTGAACTGTTTACACAAGGTAGAACTTGACTCTATTCTTCACCAAAATTTGCACAATGTATTTCCCACACAATTGGAATTAGGTATTATAGCATTGATTTTAATGGGATATTTAGACTTTGTTAATAGAAATCTACTGGAATATCTTAGAGAGAAACAGCATTTTTCTGCTGCTGTTAAAATTCATTCTGCCTGACAAAGTTGAGTACTATATCAGGAGTTTGTCAGGTCTTTCCCAGAGCCATATTCTGATCTCAGTTAGCTTGCATCTGTTCCTCTAACTTCCAAGGGAGCAGGACACAGCTCTCCAATAAATGCAAAGACAGTTTTAAAAAAAGATAGATGTTTAAATTTGGTTTTGATAGAGGTGTAAAGTTATAGCCTCACAAGAACTCTGCCCTGTTACTGTGTGTTTCTTCCACCTATAGAAACTTATTTTCTTTTCTGTTTGCAGTTATGGTTATGAATTGTCACTTAACAGAATAAGTATAAAATACAACAGGGCAAGGGCTGTCAAGGAGGGGCAAGTGAAAGCATACATAGCAGAAAATGCTCAAAGAAACTAAAGATAACTGTTGTAGCAGAGCCATTCCTGGTGTGCAATGTCCAAAGAACAAAAAAGCATATAGAGACAGCAGATGCAAATGGTTTTGTAGCTCTAGAAAAAAGGTAGAAAATGGTAAACACTTGGAGTACTAAAAATTGGACAATGAATCAAACCATTTCAGGAAAAAGTATCTTGGTATGAAGCAATAAGTCCATTCTAAGTAATGGCCACCAGGAGTACCAATAAAACCCCATGGAAACTGAGGAGAAATGTTTATACCTTAAAGGTGTTGTCTATTTAACTTGACAAATCTTACATAACCTCTGTAAATGAACCTTCTCTGTCACCCTTGTTTACATATATAAATTATGTACCTATACAGCATGTTGCAGCAGGAGAAAGCACAGTGGAGGTGGGAGGGCAGGACTGGGGCAGTGGCTGTACATGATTATTCTAATACCTTAATGATTTGCAGCAATACATACCGACCAGATATCTGTTGGAAATTAAGGCTGTGCTTGTGGTTGCCTGAGGAGGTAGCAAGTACCATGGTGCTAGAAATCATCTCTATTAGTTCATTTCTACATGAATTAAAACATTTATACAACTAATTTGGCCAATGCATTTCCAGTATTAAAATATATATGTGCATGGGTATACATACATTTCCAGTACCATAGTATGGGGGTGTGTGTGTGTGTGTGTATATATATATATATATATTCCAGTATGTATTTATATACATACATATATATATTTTAATACTGGAAATGCATATACTTACACACTACATAAACACACAGTCTTATATCTATATATGCACACACAGCTATATATAAACACAAATACACAATATTGGGTGAGGGGGTTCTTCCTTGTTTTTCATTTGTATCAGACTGACAACCCCAGTTCTGAAGGAGTATTTTTTACCTTATTATCTTACTACTTAGAGCTTTAGGATGAAACCACCTTCTGTAAAATATCAAGTCATATCTATACTTTTGCTTCCAAGTTTTCTTCTGATCTCTCTTCTCCTAACGCCTTCAATTCAAAGACTCTCAGAAAATGTTTAGTGGGTTTTCTTAATGGATCAAGTACTACAATGTATCATTTCCCTTAAGTGGAATATCAGCTGAAATATGGTTTCAGAGGTCACGAACTCTACAGCAGATCCAGTAAGGAGACATGCCAACTCACTAGCTTGTTAAAAACTGCTAGGCAATGGTTTTAATAGAACTTGCTCTCCATATATTGTACCGAGTCAAATTTACACATTATCTTCCCAACAAACAGTATGAATGAATTACTCTGGGAGCTTAAGACAATTATGACATTTCTGTCACTGTTGGCAGGCTGTATTGATAGCTGGCTGTGCTGAATTTATGCAATGCTTCTTTTTGTTCCTTTTATTTCTGTCAGAAAAGGAGGGGCTACTACCTTGAGGTCTCTTCCAAATTGTCTTAATGTCAGATGCAAAGCCTTTGCAAAGACAGGCAACATCTTTGGGGGGAAAGAAAGAGAGAGCTGTCATTTATGATATGCCTGCATACTCACAGAGTCTGGATCGATCGGAGAGGTGCAAAAAGCCCCTTGCTGATGGTTTGCAGTTTGTTGTCATAAAGAGATAGCAGCTTGAGATTATGCAGTCCTTGGAACGTGTTTACCCTCAGGCAGTTGATCTTATTGGCATTGAGAAGTCTGAAAACAGAGGAAAGGTTTATAATTCATTAATCTTGTAATAATCAAATAAAGATAGACTGAACTTCGGGGTTAAATCTAGAAAAATTATTAACCCAGTCACCAAAGCCAACCCACATTTAAAGATCTTCATTTGTCTGTTACATTAAAAAGCTGAAAAAACCACAACCAACATTAGTGTTCACACATTTGGGGAATACAGAGACATACAACAGTGCCATGTAACTGAAAATACTTAAAAGTTTGGGGGTTTTTTGGTATGCCCAGGCGGGCCCCCAGTTTGTTCAAAATGCTACACAAATATTTAAAGTAGTCTTCAACTTAATATACATGGAAATGTCAAATACTTCCCACCTTGCTATTCTGTGCACACACTCATACACAAAGTTCACAATGAGAACAACCTTTTTTTTTTTTCAATTTTCTCTACCAGCAGCTGTCTTGAGGCTAACTGACATTCTGGAAGTTTGACATCTTTTGATAAGCAGTGCAGGGTTAATTTGATGATGGGAGGAAAGATTGTTGATCCTCAGAGACGAGAAGAGAGAATTGTAGGATCTGGATTAAAACTTACTGAAAGGCAAGCTCACTTCATACCAAAGACAGTCAGGCAGTGGAACATGTTGCTCAGAAGAGTTGTGCAGTATCCATCACTGAAGGTTTTCAAGATGATAATGAATAAAGCCATGAGTAACCTGCTCTGACCTAAAAAGGTGGCTCTGCTTTGAGCCACCAGTCTCATTGGCTACTGACCATTTCCTATCCCTCCCAGCCTCCATTGTCCTACAAATCCATTACAGTTACACCAGATTCCTGTGCACCTGTGGAAAAATAGTATAAAGGCAAGTTCCTTTTATATACATACATAATTTTTTTATTATTTATTATTATTATTTTTTTCCCACATCTACACAGCAGCCAGTTGGCAGAACTAATCAGTTCAGTCAGTCTTGGACAGTATTTGTACACATTCTCTTAGATTATCCACAGTCCTATCATCTATAACGAGTATATGCAAACCCAACAACAATCTGGGTCTCCCTCTGAGACAATCAAACACAAGAACACTTGAATTGTCATTGTCATATGCATGTGTGGTATTTTACTGAGTATAATAGGCAGGAAATGACCTATTCTTCTTAGAAAAGCCTAAATCCACATCTTTTGACTACTATTAGTCTGAGAAAAATGGAACATTGCAAATGGTAGATGCTGTTAGTAGCCTTGGTCACAAAATTCTTGCTACTTTGTCAATGAGTTTGAAGGGCTTAATACTGCAACACTGTGGCTCTCTATGAGGGACCACACTAATACTAATTCAAAAGACAAAAATGTTTCTATGTAAAAAGGAAAAAATATCCTCCACTCTTCAGCATGGAAATATACCATCTTAAACACACCTCTAACAGCACAGGGAGCTTCCATTTTCAACAAACTGCACGTACACCACTATAGACAACAGGGCAATCTGCCAGGGAGGAAATGCATGCTTGTTAGCAGCATATGATGCTTTTATTTTCCTCCAAAAAAACCACTTTAGAAGGTGCTTCCTCTGCATAGCATCCTGCCTTTGCATTGCTGAAATCTTTGGAACACTCATTACAGGTCTCTGCTCCTACTGTCATTTTGGCAGAGCCATATTACTGCAGTAAATGGCTACAGTAATTGTGACATGTAAAAGATGGATGCATACTTGACTAGAGCTCCTTTCCCAAGAAAAACAGGAATGCAGTGCTTTGGAATGAGAGTGTCAGAGAAAAGCAAATAACAATTTACCTAAATTTTCTTCTTTATATGCTACAGAATATAAAGGCATTATATTCTGTAGCATATCTAATTGGCATTAGATAAAGTCCCATAGAAGGAAATAATGGATAAATGAGCTTAATTTTTGCATTAACTAATAGCTAAAATAATTTTATGAAATCATAAGCAGCACTAGTATGGCCCCTCTGTAACCTGTATTTCTGTGACAGATAATTATATGACACCTAATCCACACTCCTGTTGACTCCACTAGAAGTAACAGGGCAATTCTCATATTAGGCTACAGGAAGAGTTCCTCCCATGCAGTCAACTGCTGAGATTTTGCTCCAACTGTAAACATCAATGTCATCCCTTACTACTTGCTTCTTATGGCCACTCGTGTGTCCAAGTCAAAGCAATCTTCATTCTCTCCCAGTTCTTGTGCATTATGCATTTCTCCTCCAAGCTTGTATCACAGAATCACAGAATCACAGAATGATGGGGATTGGAAGGGACCTCGAAAGATCATCTAGTCCAATCCCCCTGCCGGAGCAGGAACCTTAACGAAATTACACAGGAAGGCGTCCAGGCAGGTCTTGAATGTCTCCAGAGAAGGAGACTCCACAACCTCCCTGGGCAGCCTGTTCCAGTGCTCTGTCACCCTCACTGTAAAGTAGTTTTTTCTCAAGTTTAAGCAGAACCTCCTGTGTTCCAGCTTACACCCATTGCTCCTTGCCCTATCATTTGGCATCACTGAGAAGAGCCTGGTTCCATCCTCATGACATTTGCCCTTAACATAGTTGTAAACATTAATTAGGTCTCCCCTCAGTCTCCTCTTCTCCAAGCTAAAGAGAACCAGCTCCCTCAGCCTTTCCTCATAAGGGAGATGCTCCACTCCCTTAATCATCTTCGTGGCTCTGCGCTGGACTCTCTCAAGCAGTTCCCTGTCCTTCTTGAACTGTGGGGCCCAGAACTGGACACAATATTCCAGATGCAATTATATATATTACCTTTTCCATACTATCTTTTCCATAAAGAACAGGTTAATAAGTCATTAGAAGGCAGAATCAGCTACTGAGTTTTGAACAACATCCTGACATACACTTAGGCTTTACAAATTCTTTGGTTTCTACCCCCTGTCCTTGTGCACTGGTCCCACATTGTTTTTAAGTAATGCACATTAACTTAGATTGGTTGTTCTGTAACAGAGGCTTGGTACCGAAGTTACACAGGAAGAAAACTGAAAGCAAGTATATACTTCAATTTATTTTGCTAGATGCTATTTTTTTCTAATATTATACCAATATTTGATGTTGCAAGCAGTAATTGTAATAAAGTGTAAAGCAAAAATGAAAATAATCCCAGTAACAAGAGAATTTACACCTGTATTACAGTTGTATTCATATATGTGTACAACCAGCATGCCTTTTTGTGATGCTCAAGAAGTGCATACATAGCAGAGCTGTGTTGTGCACATGCTATTCACTCCTGTGAGAAGAGTGGGCTTGAAGTTTAACTGTCATTGATCTCACTTAATAAACCCTCAGAGCAAAGCTGACCTAGAACTGCAGTTAAGTCATAGGATTTGAATTCATTCCCTGATAGTTTCAACAAAACATGAATAAACCCAATGCTGGAAATTAGAATTTACAAGTTTTTACAAGTGACAAGTTTTCCTGGCATGAATTTTCAATTACTAGATTCATGGTGATATAATCTGTGACATTTCTGTAAGAGCCAAATACTAAAAATGAGAGAGACTGATCCTATATACGGCCACAAATACAAAGGCAAACTTCCTTCTTTAAGCACCAGAGCAGATAATTTGGAACAGGAGAGTGCTTGTGCAGACTGTTTAGAAGTGGTAATTCAGGTACTACACAGCTTTTCTGAGGTGACAACACTTATTCTTTATATCATCTACACATCATATGTGCAGTACCTAAATCTAAAGACGCCAGATAGTCCTCAACAGTAATACAGATGTGGCCATACTTGGTGGATCATGAGACAGATTAATATCCTATTTGTGATAAGAATCAGTGAGAAAAGGGCAGCAGGGAGGGAAGTGAAAAACTGAGAAAGCAGAAGAAATCATCCCTAATTTTTTTTTTCCTCCTACTTACTGTGAGTTAGAGGATGACTTTTGGCCAGAAGCATTAAGGTTTATATTTCTTTCAGAACTCTCAGCAATTTTACAATATCCCCTTTATGGATATTCCCCTATATAAATTCCAATTCTTTGTTTAATCTTTCTTCAGTGTCACAGCCCCCCTAATGGTATCTAATTATTAATTAGGTGTACAAGGCTGGCCTCACATGGAGTTAAAAATGGTTATAAGATTTTTATTTTTTTTAACTAACACAAAGGCAGATGAGAAAAACATACTCTAGAAACACTGATATTCCTTAAACACTGAACCATGCTGTAAAACATACTAAGGGTTCCTTTTCGTTGGACTCAAACCAAAAGAAGGAACAATATTAAAAGTTGAATCTTATTTAACAAGAATTACATGGGGTATTTATTTTGCCCCAATTTCTGGTGAAAGTAAATTCCAGTAATTTTCCTATTTTGTTGTCAGCTGAATTGAATGAGATATACACACAGCCTCCAGATGTGGTTCAGCATTCAAAAGGAGGTCAAAAATTTAAGTAGAAATAAAACTGCCTGCTACCCAGAGGGATGATGGATTATTAACTGAAGTCTCTGTTTTCATCCCTCTGGATATGTTAAAAACATGAAGAAATCTCTTGCAAGCCTAGGACCACCACAGAATACAGTAGAATCGTCAAAGACCTTGTGGTTTACACACCATTGAAAGCAATGAGCAGAGCAGAGCAGAGCAGTATTACAATCCCATGAACCCATTTCCTGAAAAAGTGAATTTGTCCACACACATTGAAATAATAACGTGTTTTAGCTAAGCCCTTTGAATGAATGTGTACTGAATTGCCACTGTAATTGAATCACATGCTCATAAGCACCATCTGCATAATTAAGATGGTCCCATAATTGAATTATATGCCCAAGCACAGTTTCAAGTGATTAACATTTAAATAACATTTTGAACTCTAAACTGAAAATGATAGAAAAAAAATGGTTTTTAAGAGCAAACGGGGATGTTTATATGGCTTTTACCCTTAGCAACGTTTGCATTTTCAGCTCAGTGAAGTCAAGTAATCAAACTATCAGCAAATAACTACGTAACTCAGAAAATGAAACAGCAACCTAGCAACCTTAACACATGCTG